ATATTTATCCTACACTATAGTAGAATACAGTGAAGTAGAACACCAAGAATAATATTGATATACTATAGACTATAGTAGAATATTGTCATGAATAATATTTATAAAACTTCATAACAGGTGTTTACTTTTGCTTTACACGCAATCAATCAATCACAGAGTATTTTTGGAAAAAATCTGTACAAGTGACATAGCTTCCACAACCAAAAAACCAAAATATAGATAACTATGACTAACTAACATTTTTGACACATATTTAATTTAAGGAAAGTGTTTAAATACAGGTTGTTCTTAATTAATGACTAACTAACCTGCAGCAACCACATCCTTTGGAAGTAAAAAGTCCATACTTTCTGAAAAATAAAATTAAAAAGGTATTACATTAGATTTTGATACAACTAATCACCAACCATATAATATAAAATTTATTAATAGGTTTATTGATTGATTGGAAAAGAAAACATTTACATATTTAAGATTAGATAACACTTACATCTTTACAGAATATTCTTATTAATTTCCAATCAACAGCATCTTATAGTTGGCAATATGCCTTTATTTTTGAGAAAATCAATTAAAACAAAACATTTTTAAATTGACATAGTTTCTGGTACATTAAAGGTAGGAAAATATCAATTAGTGTTTANGGAGTGCTTTGAGAAGAAGAGAAAAGAGAGGTTGGAGAATATGTTTCGAGCTTTTAAAACATCAAAATCGACCTCCAAGTAATGAAAAAAGGAAAAAGTGTCCAAAATATTTTTCCGAAAATGTTGATTTTTTACAAATATTTTCCCGGCAACGCCTATAACTCGCTCATTTTTCAACATTTTTTCAATCCGTTTTTTTTCAGTGCATTGTAAAGGTTCTTATGCATCTTTTGTGTGGCTCAAAAGTTTTTTACGCCCACTCGTTCGGAAGATATTTCAAAAAGAAAACCAGTTTTTGGCCAAAAACTAACACAAAACTTTTTGATTTAATTATGTATTGTGTCTAGTTAGCCTGGTTAAAAGAAATTAGTTAAATATCTTTGAAAATAAAGGCATGAGCAAGGTTTAAAGCAAACTTCAGTCCAAATTTGATATTTTAAATCACCATTTGCAGCATAAAGACGACCTCCAATCAACATGACTCATTTATACAAAATTGTTTGCAGTATATAAATTAAGGCACTGCAGCGCTCAGTCCATGCACTGCTAGGTCCATGCAGCACTCAGTCCTTGGATCTCGCAGCGTTTTTGAGACAAATATATGTGACAAATATGACTGTAAAATCTCATATGTGAAATCTCATATATGGGTTGGCTTGGTGTTGAGTAAATTTTAGAATACAATTGGGGGAAAAATGTTGGAGCAGAGTAACATGAGGGTGAGTACTGCATGTCCACAATTCTCATTATATTTTTATTTTTTCCCAAATTCATTAAAGTGAGAATTTCCCCGATTTTGTTATCCAAGGGACTGTTGATTGGAAATTAATAAGAATATTCTGTGAAGCTGTAAGTGTTATCTAATCTTCAATATGTATATGTTTTCTTTTCCAATCAATCAATGAACCTATCAATAAATTTTAAATTATACTGATATACTGGTACTTATAGTCTGGTACAGGGGTATATATTTACTAATTAATAACTAATTAAATATTAAGTAAAAAATTATATTTAACATGGACACAAGGAGGTGTTCCCTTAATTCTGGAATAGTTTTGAATGCAACAAACATAAAACAAATATTTATTTAAATTTCAATTCTATATCTCATTAGACATATCTTTTTTATATAATCGTGCATTGTACGCATTGTACTGCATTGTACTGCAGGATTGTTATTTCATTTATGTTCATATATACTTAAAATCACATATCATCATACAGTGAATATTTTAAACAACGACATGAAGTTAACAGGTTATTTTTTTTTAATGATTTGTTGTTACCCTAAAGAAAAAATTAACTTGTAGGAGACCCGTACATCTTTCAATAGCAGTTATTAAATTGTCTGCAAGACAATCATGGGGGGACAACAATATTAAATTAATTTTAGAAAAAAATGAAAAAGTTCAAAATCACTAGAGTTGCATCTGAGAAACCAAGGGAAGAAGGCATTCTGCTTTCTCAAGGTTCCCCTCAGGTTCTTATTCCCCCATCTGGTTTCCCTGTAGAGGTATAGTTGTACATTTCATTTATTTTTTTGGAGTGTAGTGTGACTTAATTAATTCTATAATCTATAATCTCTAATTTATTAGATATCAGTAAAATTACGATCTCTAATTTATCAGTAATAACTATAATCTCTAATTCATCATTTATCAGTATACGATCTCTAATTTATCAGTAATAACTACAATCTCTAACTTTTCAGTTATCAGTAAAACTACGATCTCTAATTTATCAGTAATAACTATAATCTCTAAATTTATCAGTTATCAGTAAAATTACGATCTCTAATTTATCAGTAATAACTATAATCTCTAATTTATCAGTTATCAGTAAAATTACGATCTCTAATTTATCAGTTATCAGTATATGATCTCTAATTTATTAGTAATAACTATAATCTCTAATTTATCAGTTATAAGTAAAATTACGATCTCTAATTTATCAGTAATAACTATAATCTCTAATTTATCAGTTATCAGTAATAACTATATTCTCTAATTTATCAGTTATCAGTATACGATCTCTAATTTTTCAGTAATAACTATAATCTCTAATTTATCAGTAATCAGTAAAATTACAATCTCTAATTTATCAGTTATCAGTGAAATTAGGATCTCTAATTTATCAGTAATCAATAAAATTACGATCTCTAATTTATCAGTTATAACTATAATCTCTAATTTATCAGTTATCAGTAAAATAACGATCTCTAATTTATTAGTAATAACTATAATCTCTCATTTATCAGTTATCAGTACAAGATCTCTAACTTATCAGTAATAACTATAATCTCTAATTGATCAGTTATCAATAAAATTACGTTCTCTAATTTATCAGTAATAACTATAATCTCTAATTTATCAGTTATCAGTAAAATTAACTTATCAGTAATAACTATAATCTCTAATTGATCAGTTATCAATAAAATTATCTCTAATTTATCAGTAATAACTATAATCTCTAATTTATCAGTTATCAGTAAAATTACAATCTCTAATTTATCAGTAATATCTATAATTTCTAATTTATCATATATCAGTAAAATTACGATCTCTAATTTATCAGTAATATCTATAATGTCTAATTTATCAGATATCAGTAAAATTACGATCTTTTATTTATCAGTAATAACAATAATCTCGAATTTATCAGTTATCAGGAGATAACATTACAGTCCAGGAGATAACATAATACTACAGGAGATAACATAATAGTATTTCCGTAGATTTTCACATGTTCACGTGGACCTGGTTGGACCTCTTCCCTGGTCACATGGTTTCACGTATCTTTTGACCTGTATAGATAGATCCACAAGATGGCCGGAAGTTATTCCTTTGGCGGGAATTTCTGCAGCGGAGTGTGCGTCAGCCATGTTCCATGGTTGGATTTCTCTTTTCGGTGTTCCTGCAATCATCACTAGTGATCGAGGTACACAGTTCACGTCCTCTTTATGGTCAGCCATCTGTTCCATGTTAAACATCAAACACAAAACTACAACAGCTTTTCATCCACAGTCAAACGGAATGGTGGAAAGATTCCACAGACAATTAAAAAACTCTCTACGAGCTCGTTTGGCCTCCTCAGACTGGTTCGATCACTTGCCTTGGGTTTTGCTGGGTTTGAGAGCTGTCCCTAGAGAAGATTCTGCAACATCTGCCTCGGAAGCTGTATATGGATCAGAGTTAATTTTACCACATCAGTTTCTGGCAGTTCAAGATCCTCCTTCTAAACAGTTCTATGATGATCTCAAGAGTTCCATGTCCGGATTCCATCCTGTTCCTGCTCGTCACAATACTCAGCCAACTTCAGACCTTCAGGAACATGTACCAGATCTCCTCTCGTCCTGTCCGATGGTTTTTGTTAGAAAGGATGGTCACATTCCTCCACTAGCTCCTCTCTACGCTGGACCTTACAAGGTATTATCTCGTTCCCGGAGAACCTTCCGTCTCCAGGTGGGTAATAGAGCAGAGACAGTTTCGATTCAAAGACTTAAACCTGCAGTCACAGCTGAGGAAGATACTCCAGAGTTACCTCCTCGACGTGGTCGTCCCCCTCGTGCAATTAAACAAGCTCCTACAGCTCCTCCTCGACCTCGTGGACGACCTCGAAAACCTGTTGATTCCGCTTCCTCCATGTAGATATTTAGATATACAAATTAAAATTGATTTAAAAATTTGTATTAAGATTAAGTTTTAAGTTTAAATATACAGGGGTAAATATTTACTAGGATCCCCCTGGCACAGGAGTATAGATTTACTAGAATCCCTCGGGTACAGGGGTATATATTTACTAGAATCTACCTGGTAATGGAGTATATATTTACTAGAATTCCCCTGGTACAGTCACTCTCGGGTACAGGGGTATATATTTACTAGAATCTACCTGGTAATAGAGTATATATTTACTAGATTTCCCCTGGTACAGAGGTATATATTTACTAGAATATACCTTATAATTAATTAATTATTAAGTAACTATTAGTAAATATATACCCCTGTATATTTAAACTTAAAACTTAGACTTAATTCAAATTTTTAAATCAATTTTAATTTGTAAATCTCATTATTATAGAATTGATTTACATTACTAACTAACACTTCTGACATAATTAATATTCAAGTAAAGCCTATAAGTACCAGTATATTAGTACGAATTACTTGTGATATGAAAAAATCTGGAAATAGTTGTAGGGAACTTATATTTAAATCAAATTCCCAAATCAATTTCTGTTAATATCAGAATCATAAATTGAAATTGATTTGGGAATTTTTAAATCTAAGTTCCCAACAACTATAAGACACATTTGACACATTTGATATTTAAGTAAAGTGTTTAAATACCAGTATATCAGTTCTTATTATGTGTGTTATGAAACAATCATAAAATAGTTGTTGGAAACTTATATTTAAATCAAATTCACAAATCGATTTCAATTCAATCTTTATATATTATTGTATATTTTATTAATTAAGAGATTGTTGAAAAACATTATTGTCTTAAATTCAATACAAATAGTGAAATTTTCAATTAATTATACTGTTCTTGATATTCTATCAGACCATGAAAGTGTGTACTTTAGTAGAGAAAGATCCTTATGGAAACTATAAACTTCAAACCTTGCTCACGCCTTGATTTTCAAAGATATTCAACTAATTTCTTTTACCCAGGCTAACTAGACACAATATATGAATAATTTAAAAATTTTGTGTTAGTTGTTGAAAAGCTTTTTATTCAGGAGGGAATATAAGATAATATTTAATTCTGTAAAAAAACGCAAGTTTGCTTCAAACCTTCCTCACAACTTTATTTTCAAAGATAATTAACTAATTTCTTTTTCCTAGATTTCCTACACACAATATTTTATGTTAGTTGTTAAAACTCTTGAATTAGGAGAAAAAATAAGGGAATAATTAATTCTGTAAAACCCGCAAGTTTGCTTCAAACCTTGCTGAAGCCTTTATTTTCAAAGATATTCAACTAATTTTTTTACTCATTCTATTAATAAGTACTGATATACTGATACTTAAAAACTTTACTTAAATATAAAAAGTGTCAAATGTGTCTAATAGTTGTTGGGAACTTAGATTTAAAAATTCCCAAATCAATTTCAATTTATAATTCTGATATTAACAGAAATAGATTTGGGTAATTGATTTAAATATAAGTTCCCTACAACTATTTCCAGATTTTTTCATATCACACGTAATTCGTACTAATATACAAGTACTTATAGTCAAAAGCGTTAGATAGTCATGTTGAACAGTTTAAAAGTCACTTAAAACCATGTTAATATATACCAATTCAGTTGAAATTGATTTGTGAACTTGATTTTAATATAAGTTTCCGACAACTATTTTATGATTGTTTCATAACACACACACAAGCAATATATTTCAATTTTTAATTTTGATATTAAAGGAATAGATAAACATGACTTTGTAAACACAATGCTATTTGTAATAACTATACTTATGATGTCTACAACAGAAATCTAAGGAAATTACTTACGTGGAAGTCAATCTTAAGACCAATTCCCAAATCAATTTTAAACACCAGTAAATTAGTATTTATTTTCTGCTTTATCAAAGAATCATGAAATAATTGTAGAAAACTACATAAGCATAAACATAAACAGTTCTCATTCTCTGTTTAAGAAAAGAATCATGTAATTGTTGTACAGCTTTGGGCACATTTCTAAAAAAAATTAGTTGAATATCTTCAAAAATAAAGGCGTGAGCAAGGTTTGAAGCAAACTTGCGGGTTCTACAGAATTAAATATTCCCTTATATTCCCTCTTGAATCAAAAGCGTTTCAACAACTAACGCAAAATTTTTGAATTATTCATATATTGTGTCTAGTTAGCCTGGGTAAAAAAAATTAGTTGAATATCTTTGAAAACAAAGACCTGAGCAGGGTTTGAAGGAAATCATTGGGTTTTACAGAATTATATATAGGTATTACTTTATTTTTTTAAATTACCTGTGTTTCACAGTATAAAGAGTACTCTGCCGAATTTTTTTCAGCGATTAACTTTTGCAATCATGAGTTCAGCAACTCAAACAACAAGCTCTTTTCAGGGCTACCAGGGAGGTCGTATGAGTAAGGTGGTGGGGTTTGAGCAGAGAGGGGATGAGAAGTTTGGTGAGGTTTCCGTGGCTGCTCAGGGGGGAAGTGGACTTTGGTTAAGAGTCCCAGAAAGATTAAGGAGGACAGGAAAAGAGAAAGGGATTATGATGAAGAATTCCCACTGTTAGTAAACGCAAATAATACTAAATATAGGGTTCACAAGGTTAGTGAGGTTTCCCTGGTGGCTCAGGGTGGTGTCAAAGAGTTGGCTCAAGGAGGGGATTTGAATTTGGTTAAGAGTCCCAGAAAGGTTAAGGAGGACAGGAAAAGAGAAAGGGATTATGATGAAGAATTCCCAGTGTTGTTGAACACAAACAATACTAAATATATGGATCACAAGGTTGGTGAAGTTTCTGTGGTTGCTCAGGGGGGTGTCAAAAAATTGGCTCAGGGGGGGAGTTGGACTTTGGTTAAGAGTCCCAGAAAGATTAAGGAGGACAGGAAAAGGGAAAATCTGCTAAGGCAGGAAAGAGAGCTGATGAGAAAGAAAATATTTGGGACGAATCAATTAAAGGTTGTAGTTAGTTACTCAAAGCCTTGGTTTTGTCATAAAGAGGAAGATTTCCCACCAATGGAAGAAGAAGAGCAGGGTCAAAGTAATAATTGTGGTCCAGGAGCTAGGCATCAGGAAAGGGGATTTTTGAGATACAAAGGGGGGGATGAAAGTGAAATTGGGCAGGGGGGAGATGTTAATGTTTTGCTGTTAGAGGAAAGGAATGACGTTTCTATGGCAGTACATAATGAACATGATCAAGTTTTTGCTCCAAGGATGCCGAATAGGAACAACAATTGCTTTGCAAATACTTGTTTGAGCATACTTTGGAACACACCAGAAGGATTGGGTCAAATTAAAATATTCATTAATAAAGAACATCAGAATAGTCAAGATATAGAACTAGGAAAACTCATGAAGGATGCAGTGCATTCATCTTCAATTAAAAAATCTTTAAACCTTTGTAAGTTAATACCACTAATTGATCCTTCTCTACAATTAGGGGAACAGGAGGATATTTACCCATTTATTTCAAACCTTTCTGAAAAACTAGGCTTTGGGGAGGGTACAATTTTCCCAAAAACTGATAAAAAGGTTTCAAGTTGTGAGAAATGTGGGGTGGAGAGTATAACTTTCAATCCTACAAGTATAGTCACTCTCTTTTTTATGAATGGAAAAAATGTCTTGGATGAGTTTAGAACAGGGCTTCAGCAGACTGTGGAAAAAATGTGTTATACATGTGGGGAGAACACAAATAATAAACAAATTCAAATCTTAGAGAAGAGTGATTATTTAATGCTTAGGTCTTTAAATGACTATTCTGAAAAGGAAGTAGATCTTATCAAGGAAATTGAAAATATAGGTATTTTGTCTCTTCTAGGATTTGCAACTAGGAAGGGAGATGCTACTGGAAAATCTGGACATTGGTGGTACACCAGAGTGATGCATGATGGAACTAGTGTCAAGCTTGATGGTGAGAAGTTACATCATCAAAATAACATTATAACCTCAAGATCTCTCTCTGATGGCAACCTCTTTGTTTACAAGATACTACCAACAGAAGCTTCTTTCTCTTTAAACCCTCCAACAACTGTTTTTGTTGATTTTAATGTTCAACATATGGCAGAGAAAGACAGAGAGAAAAGTATTAATGTGCATGACTTCAGCCTTCACAATGACATAATTGGTGTACAGAAGGAAAGGAAATGTGTTATAGGTAAAGAGGGGATTGATGCTTTTGGTAAAAACAAAATTCATACGGAAGTAACTAAAAGTGATAGATCTTATGAGTTCATTTATGCAAGCAGTATGTCTTCTAATTTTGATAAACTAACTCCAATAATAGAGAGTCAGGAAAATGTAAATGAGAGTGCTAAGGTGGTAGATAGTGAAGGGAGTTTGTGTGATGACTCAGATGAATTCATATATGAAGATGGTGTGTCTGATTTTGATGAAAGTGATGATAAGTATGAAGGAGTTATTTTTCCAGACAAGTTAAATCTTGAATTTGTCTCTATAAGTATTGAAATCACTCCAATAATAGAGAGTCAGGAAATTGTGAATGAGAGTGCTATGGTGGTAGCTAGTGAAGGGGGTTTGTGTGATGCCTTTATGAGAAATGGCAAGAATGCTACATTCAAGGGGACTTCTATTCAAAAGGAAAAGGATTTGACAGAAAGGGAAAAGCGTTATTTGAAAAGGAATAAACAGTATATGACGAGCAATTCTAATGTTAACCCAGAGGTAAAGGGTGATGTTTTGCCTGAAATTGTTCCTTCAATCTCATGTGACTCCTTAAATGTTTCCCCTACAAGAAAGAGGAGGCGTAGTTGTAGCATTGTGTTAACACCCCCTCCATGTTCTTTGCATGTGCAGCAGAAAAATATTAGAAAAAGTAAAGCCAGGAAAACTTTAGATCTTTTGTTAAAAAAGGATGCTGAAAGAAAGAAGCATAATTCAGGTTCTATAAATTCTGATTCTGAGGGATTGTTTCAAAATAAAAGATTTGTTGATCAAGAA